TGGTCCTGAACTGGCATCTCAGGTTCAGTCACTTTCCTATCATTGTAATATAGCTTCTGTGCCTTTTCTATAAATACTTTCATAGCAATTGTTCAGATGAAATTTTTTCTATGGTATTGAGACTTTATGAATTTAAGCACATTACTAGATTGGTGGCAAGATCTCATCATTTTACAGGTAAAAGGGCTAGATGTAACTATAATTTTCTATGCTACCAGTTTCTTCTATTGCATTTCTCACTTGTGGAACTCTTTTAGCTTCTTTCTTCTCGGTCAACTTTGATCTTCAAAAGTTTAAATGCCATATCAATCATTATCTATTGTCTTCTTAATTCTTGTTCTTTTATTATTCCATCTACTTAATAGTGTTTTTATTTTTTCATTTTCTCTAACACTCAGTAACCCCTTGCCTTTTAGTGGCTTTATTGCCTTGCTTTAAAAAATATATTTTTTTTTTCTTATAAGTTAAGAAACATTCATATAGAGCCTCTAAAATAAAAATCATGGTACAGTAACCATCACCCCACAGGAAATTATTTTATTATATGTATAATCTACATAATTAAATGTCAATGTCAGTGTGTCACACTTTTTCAACTTTACTCCTAGAGGCTGTAGCCCAACATATCATACCATTTTGGAACCAGGCTGACTCTTTGAGCAAATTAAAAACATTCTGAGTTGGATCCAGACCTGCATTTCTGGAATTTTGGATTCTCAAGTTTCCATTCCTTTGATTGTTTTCGGCATTTTTTTTTTTTACGTGATTTTTTGTGACAAATTTTTTGTCCAATAACAGTTTTTATAATAATTTGGGAATAACTAAAATTAATTGCAAAATCAAGTGAAAGGCACCCATGAAATAAAAATAAATGTTTGTATGGAAAGTAAGGACCTACCCTCATCAAATTGTCTTTAAATTAAGTAGTGGCAAAAGAATTATTGCTTTATGTGTATAACATGTATCATATTGTATTGTGTATAACATGTATTGTATTGTGTATAATATGTATTGTATTGTGTATAATATGTATTATATTGTATTATGTGTATAACATGTATTATATCGTATTATGTGTATAACATGTATTATATCGTATTATGTGTATATCATGTATTATATGTCTTATTCTTTAGTCTGATTATGTTACATATAAGTAATATTAATATCTATTTCCATAGACCTTTAATTTCCATTCTGTCTTTAAATCTAACTCTAGACCTTTGCTTTGCAATCTCTAATGTTTTTGTCATAAAAAAAGAAGCCAAAAATAAAAGAACAGTGTGTAGAAGCCATGAGCAAGCATCTCTAAGCAAAATGACCGGCCTTGCTTGAGTTTTTTGTAAGACCAAAGATCAACGTGCCAAGTTCAGGTATGCAGCTAACATCAGGCTAACAAAAGACAGCCAAGATTCTAAAAAGTGGGAAATCATGTGTCACAGAGCGATGTTAAGCAGGTTGGGGGCAGCATTGGCAAAAATTCCAAAATGGCATCTGATTTTTGGAGAGGTCAAAAGTTAATAGCAAAATCTAAGAATGCAGGCCAATTGTATCTGTTGATGGATGAATATCTGTGTTATCTTGCAATTAAAGGCATGATGTAATTTTGTTTGTATTTGACAGTGACTCTTCCATTCTCATTTATTGAAAAAAAAAGAAATTTGCACAAAATATATATTATTTTTACAAAAGGAGTTTAGTAGAAGAATATATTACTGGGAATAATTTGTAAATGCTATGTAACTTCAGGATGTAAGCTGTCATGGGTCTCCATAGCTTCCTTTTTATTATCTGAGAATTGCCATGACTTCTTGGAAAATATAGATGTAGTAGTGTTTTTGTTGTCTTCTCTACAGTTTGGAATTTGGATTATTCCTTCTCTTAGACTGGTTACCACATCAAGGCATGAGAGCCATGTCTATCCTGCTATTTAACCCATAACTGGCTAATGAGATGGATTCATGCCTTTTTCCAAGGGCTTTACTACAAAGTGAATGCAACAGACTAGGACGGAACGTGAAACTTAATTGCCAATTTCACTTTATTTCAATACACCACCAGCACATTGTTTGGTTGTGTGTTTATTTGTTTAGTGGAATATCAACTCCTTATGGGTCACTTAGTACAGAAACTTAATTTTCTTGGGAACATTAGTAATTTTTTTCCCAAAAATGTATTGCTGGTAATATTTTTACTATGAAAATGTATCGCTGGTATTTTTCATAATTTCATAGTGTTTTAACCACAGTTTGGGAGTTAACTATTTGTCCATAGATTGGGACCCTAAAGTGGACCTGGGGATAAGAGCAATTAAGAGGTGATTTCACGCTCCTCAAAACCTTCTGACCAGAGGCATTGCTGCTGGATGTAGTTTATCATCATACCCAGAACTAACCAGCTCAAATACATTACATAAAAAAAGGAATCTGCGGAGAGCCACAATCGCCTGTGTCCTGAATGAACTTAGTGCAGTGAGAGATAGTTTTACTTCTCTGTTGATGTAGCACAGAAAATAAGACCTTTTATAACATCAAAAGTAAATTGGAACAGAATGACCACTCTCTCAGGATGCATATGATCATTGCTCTCTACATATCCATTTTTATCTCTCTCTCTATATATATATATATATATAAAACAGAAGATGTCTGTGTGTCTGTCTGTGTGATACCTTTTCACTTGAGACCCAAACTGATTTTGAACAAACTTGGCATATACATTGTACAATGTAAGAGAGAGGTTCTTTTTTTAAAAAATGTTTTTAAAATTTGAGAAAGCTGATCAAAAATCGATAAATTCAACTTTTTTCCTCCAATTTTGTTCAAAATCGGTATGTAGATTACTTACATTATGACGAGCTCAATGATACCTCATTTTTATTTTTATGCCACTGCATTTAGTGAAAAATGAAAAATCAATTTCGACACAAATTTTAAAACTAAAAACTCTCTCAATTTTCCAGCAATCTAATACAAACTTCACTCAATTATAGCCAACAATAAGTTGATTTTTTAACAGTCATTTAATGGAGTCCACTCATACAGTGAAAACCTGCATAAATAGCAAAAAATGGCGATTTTTACTGGTTACTTATTTTTCGTTGATCTTTCAACCAATTTTCATGAAACTTAACAATGGGTTTATAAATGTATCCTCTTTGACACATTGACAAATTGAATGCTTTTTTTCTGATCAACCAGCTGGGTATGGCTGCTAGTTACCAATAAATTGCTATGTAACCATGTGCCATATCCCTTCAGGACATTAGCAATCATAGCTCTTCTCAATTTCCTGTTTGTAGCTCTTAATAAATTTTATCATTTTGTTTTCTCTCCTAAACATTGGTTCACCATCCATTTATTCAAGCTCACTAGGTAAGTTATCTATCTTCTCTGTGAGTATCAAATTTTTCACGCCATCTTCCCTCATTAAGTGTCCAAGAAATTTCAACTATCTCTTCCTGATGTTAAGTATAAGAGTCATTTTGTTTCTGTTTTCTCTGAAACTTCATCATTGCTCCCATGTCCAGTCTATGATATTCTAAGCATATTTCTGTTGCTTCAAGTCTATTCTTCCTCTGTGAGTCGATTATCCAGACGTTTTTGAAAATATGGTCAATGGATTCAGTTTGGAATTCAGAGCATCCCTTATTCTAGCCTGGCTTCCATCCAAGGCTAGAGAGCCCAGTCTATCCTGCTATTTAACCCTGAAGAGATGGATTCATGCCTTTTCCAAGAGCATTAGTGCAAAGTGAATGTAACATTAACTTTCCAATTTCAATTCCTCTACCAATAAAGAAGCTGCATTTTCATCCCAGGTAATAGGAAAATATGGAGAGCCATGATCACACACAGGCTTAAAGGACTTTGTACAATAAGAAACAGAACAGGGAATGAAAGAAGCAAATGGTTAATGGGTTAAATAGTTTTAGCAGCCAAGCTTAGTAAGATTTAATTAAACTGAAGAATCTATGAAAGTTACTAATCATTAAATCCATATTGTGGCTCCAAAACTTTGCCTTATTGTGTGTGTATATATATATATATATATATATATTGATCTAGTAAGACTGAAAATATATTTCTTAAGTCTAGCTATGCAGGTTCTGTTATAAATTATTAGTTCTGATAAAATAAGCATTTTCATTACTTTTAAAGTTATTAATGTCTTATTTATTTTAGTTTCAATAAAAGATCACAAGTAGTGGCTACCCAGTGAGAATCAAACTCATAACTCAATGTTAATAATCTACAATACTAGCTTGGTAACCGTTGTCTTTTCATTAGGCAACTTTAGTATAATGAAATAAACATTTCAACAGTCAAAGAATATAAGACAACTTGGCAGTCATAGAATATGTAACAATTTGATAGTCATAGTATGTGAAACAGCTTGGCAGTTATAGAATGTGAAACATTTTAGCAGTCATAGAATGTGAAACAGCTTGATGGTCATGTGAAACTTGATGGTCATAGAATGTGAAACATGGTCATAGAATTGATGGTCATAGAATGTGAAACAGCTTGGCAGTCATAGAATGTGAAACAGCTTGATGGTCATAGAATGTGAAACAGCTTGGCAGTCATAGAATGTGAAACAGCTTGATGGTCATAGAATGTGAAACAGCTTGATGGTCATAGAATGTGAAACAGCTTGGCAGTCATAGAATGTGAAACAGTTTGATGGTCAGAAAATGTAAAGCAACTCATTCAGTGCGATAATAATATGAAGGATAAACTGGTTGGCGATTAATAATAAAACTGCTTCAACTTCAAAATATAGACAACTTAGATTTTTTTTTATTCCGTGTACTTTTCTCATTGATTTTTTTTCTTGTTCAGTGAATTTGTTATGTGTTGTGTCTTTTTTTCTCTGACAGTCCATATAGTTGCAACCATAGCAATAACTAATCTAGAGTAACAAAAAATGTCAAGTAAAGCAATATTCTTTATTGGGATTGACGTAAGCAAATGAAATAAAACCAATGACAGAATACTTACATGGCACCAACGTATAAACTGTGAGATTTCGTATCCATCATTAGATAGCGGTAATAATTTTTTTGTGTGTGTGAACTGAGGGTTGATGGGTATGTCTTTATATCTACAAGAAGAAAAGAAAAGCAAAAAGAATTAGAATCATTTGACAGGAAGATGGAACAAAATATTTTCTTAATGTACAAGACGTATAAGATTCAATAGATCTATTTTATGCTCCCCACTTTTGTTGCCGTTTTGTTTTCATATTGTTTCAGAAAGAATTTTTCTTACTTATCTTGTGCTGCTTATAATTTGGTCTCTAACTGGTTATGATAAAACAAAATTAGTAGGATAATGGCAAGGTTTTGTTGCCAACCTGACTGATCTGAAATTGTCACCCACAGAAAAGAAGAAATATGTTAAAAAGCTCCAAGTCGATTTTCTGGTAATAATTCTTCTGAAGCCTATGAGATCAAAGCAGGCATTTCCCAAGGTTCTCTTGCTGGTCCTAACCTCTTTCTACTTTACATGAAAGATATGCCTCAGAAGATTTTCAAATCATTAGTAAATATTGATGAAAATGATACCAATTTTAAGGATATACTTCCAAACGTCAAGACGATCAGAGACTGGCAGTTCATCGATAAATGCATACTTTATAGATTGAGAAAAAGAACACCACCAATACTATACATTCACCAATGATGTAAGCACAATTTCAAACTTGATATTTGTAAATAAAAACAAAATACAGATAACTCAGAAAAGTTAGGGGTTGATTTGATATTGTATTTATATTATGAACAGGACACCCTTTCAAAAATTATATATAAAAGATAATATTTTAAAACTCCGACAAATGCTGTGGTTTGGGAAATGTGTAATGAATGTGATATGTCCCGGAAAGAGATATATTTCTTCAAAGTAGCAAAGTGGTTGTTGACTCCTGTAACTGGGTAGAACAATCTAGCAGGTAACCGTAATGGACTGGTCCTCATCGTAGTGGTAGACAATAGGCATAGTCCTCTGTACCTCCACATCAGTCTGTATTTATGGCTGACACCAGCCAATCATATTACTGTGAGGGGGAACCCAGGTGTATGCATATTCATTTCATCAGAATGTTAATCAAGAAAAAATTATTTGTCTGCAAAATTATTTCCTATTTTTTAATGCGGGGACCAGTAAATTTAATTAGTTCCAGTTTTGGTGTTTTACCTCAGCTCACATTCAAGATATGCTATGCATGAATGAATTCTCCAACATTATCCCAGATATATGGCGTGAACAGGTCAGATGATCAGTTGATCAATGACTATATAGCCACACCCTGTCATGATAATGAATTTGCATACAATGCCATTGTCTGTTGTATAGAATTTGTGTGAAATACCGTTGTTTTTCTACTGATAGTTCACCCAATAAGATTGTAAGGGAAGAGACAATTTTTCTCTCTGGAATCTATCTTATATATCTAACAGTCTACCATTCATCAATACTTAGAATATTGCTGCCATATAGTCTGGTGCTCTTGCTATTTACCTGGAGCTCCTTGATAAGATCTAAAGAAGAATCAGCAATATTATTGGTCCTGATCTGGTGGCTCAGCTTCAGTCACTTGCCCATTGCCATAAGTTTGCCTCTCTGTGCCTTTTTTTTTGTAAATACTTTTATGGTCATTGTTCAGATGAGCTCTTTGCTATGGTAACTAGACTTTATGAATTTAAGTGCAGTAGTAGAACGGCAGCAATATCTCATCAATTTACAGTTGAACTGGCTAAATGTAGCCATAATTCTATGTTAACAGTTTCTTTTCAAAATATCCTCTAAATTGTGGAACTCTTTTCCAGCTCCATGGTTTCCAATCAATTTTAATCTGCAAAAATTTAAATGCAGTGTCAATCACTATCTACTGTTCTCCTGATTACTCTTTTCTCTTTCTACTCATTATTAATGTTTCTATTCCTAATTCCTCCACACCCTGTAAACCCTTTGCATCTTAGTGGCTGTACTGCCTTTTTTGGGGTGATATCATTAAAAAAAAAAAAAAATTAAAATAAGAAGTAGCATTATGAAGCTGATTGATAGATTCATTTTTAAGACTTGCCAACCCATTGTACACTATTTAAAGACAAAACATTTTTTGAGAAATAATGATTTTTCCATATACAAATCATACTACTTAACCCATAGATGGGGGGAAACAGCTGGATTCTTGCTTTTCCCAAGGGTATTTGTACATCACTTAATGTAACAAACTCAAGTGGAATTTGAACTCATCTCTCCAAGTTCATATTTTGAATGGTATCCATAACATCAACCTCATGTCTAATTATGCAGGAAAATCTTACATAGAAAAATAGCTAGTAGCATTATACACAAAATTCTACTTGAATATGCAGAGTAAATATCTACTTGAGAAAAAGCATGTCTCCAAAGAATAATTTGGATACATGCTCATTATAGCAATCTGCCTCTTAAGAAAGTTGCAACTTTGTTGAACAGTAAAGTCAGTCAATGAAAATAAAATATATTGATCAATAAAAGTATGTATTCTTGAATTTGCAAAATATTAATTTTATAAAGTCCTTCCAGTAACTATTAGAAATTCAAAAATGCAATTAGTCAATAATGTTTACATTTTGAAGGAAATACTTTGCGGAAATAAAAAAATATTCAACCCTTTTTTGAAAAAATAAAAATTAAAAAAATATATCAGCAGCAATTTAATGATTTAAGAAAATAAATTTCAATTTCAGTGAAAAAATAATTTATTTTAGTAAAATAGTTACTAAATTACTTTATTTTACTTTATTTTAATAAAATAATTACTTAAATTCAGTTAAATATTTCAATTCATTCATGTCATCATTGGTCTGGTTTACATGCTCATCATGTTTAACGTTTTACTGATTGTTTACAGCATTTGATAGAAATAGAACTTCTGGAATAAACTTGAATTTTAAATTAGATTAACTGAAAAATATGTTTTTAATATGCCAAAATATATTTTTTAAATATTTAAAATATTGTTTGTTTAAAAAAAGCTGAAATATAAATAATTACTCTACAAACAACTGACGAAACAGCAAATCAGGATCTCTTTGTGTCTGTCTTTAACTTTAAAATATTTTAATTAAAAAAATTGTCTGTTTGATGAAAGTTAGAATAAAAATACTTACTGTATAAACAACTTGTATTTTTAAATCGGATTAACTTAAATTATTATGCACTGGACACACACCCCACACAAGCATATACACAATTAGACTTTTAGTATTATATAGATTAATACAAAGATTGATATATTCACCAGATTTATTTAAGTCATGCATTGAAGTGATCATAAAAGAACTAGAAATCCTACCAGGATTTATTATTGGTGGACACAGCCATAACAATAGAACATAAACTAATGACAGTACTGGACGGATGATCACCACAGAAATAAAACTGCAGGTACTTCTAAACAAGGTACTAAAGGAAAGTGAGTTGAAAGAACAGTCAACTGTAAAAACGATAATTTACTGTTGTTAGCAAGAGGAACAGCCCAGTCTCTGAGGTATGAATTGGAAATATCAGAATCAAGCAAGTACAGATATTTAACTATCTGGGAAATTTTATGACAGATGATCGAACATGTGACAGAGAAATCTGAAAACAAGTCGAAATAATGAAAGATGTTTTCTAAAAGTAAAGCAAAGTATCAAGCTACAGGAAAATTTCATAGACACAAGGAAAAGGTGACTGAAATGTGATATTTTATCAATCTTCCTATATGGCAGTGAATGCTAAATAATTTCCTCAGAGATAAAGAAAAGATGAGGCAACAGATGTGTAGTTCTACTGAAGAACACTGAGAATACCATAGATGAAACATGTGAGCAATGAGGACGTCTTAAGGTAAATAGGAATAAAAAGTACACTTGTACTCAGAATCAGAAAGAGACTGTTGAAATTTCTGGGATTCATAATGAGGAAAGAATGCTTGGAAAATTTGATACTCACGGGACACAGATATAGGGGAGCATATAGAAACTAATCTAATGAGATTTTGTAAATGGATGGCAGAATAGAGACAGGGGGTATAGTAAGTGGACAAACACTGATTGGAGTGACAAAGAAAGTTGTGGAGAACTATGAACGCCCAAGTCCTGAAGGAGTATGGAACATAAAAGATGATGAATATTTGATTGATCTTGTAAATATGAATTTGGGATTATTAGATTATATTTTTATTTAGATTTGATATTATCTTTGTTTACAAGCAATCTAATTTTGTTTATTTATTTTTATTGCTAATGAAAAATTTACTTTGAAGAAATGATCAAGAAATACTTAATTTTTTTGGAATCCAATCTACATTATTGATAATGACATTCACTGCATGAATAGATTTTTTCTTTTCTTTTATGCCTCGGGTTAAAAACAAGTTTCTGAGACGAGTTTTCAGAGAAGCCAGAAATATTCCAGATTGTCTTTTAGACTGTGACATTCTGTTCTGAAAATGGCTATGCAGAGTGTAACAATCTTATTATTCACAATGAAGCTCTTGGAGCTATGTTTTTATTTCTTTGCTGTATTTTTGAAATTGTAAATAAAAGAAAATTATTGAAATGTCAGTATAATTTAGTTTTTCTCAGCAAAAATGACATCTACAAAGTCATATGCATGTAAATAAACGCTTTTCTTAAAAGTAAAGAAAACACACACATATGTATATATGTATGTATATAGACAAAAATGATTTGTAAACTTGTGAAGATACATACACTAATGCAAAGTGTGTGTGTGTGTGTACTTATACAGATTTTTTATATAGGTGAACATATATATTGAATCCCACATACATGCTCAAATATTAAAACATACAGGCATATATATGAGTAAACATTATAAACTTCTCTTTCACTCTCACACACTTACATCTATTTATAAATTTGTGCATGTGTGTGCTTATATATGGTAATGATAATGTAAGCTGTTTCCTTATAAGGAAACATTTGGCTTTCATTGGCTGAACAACATTATACTATTGTCAATTGAAATTTATAAAATCTTT